AGAGCGCTGTGCTTTATGACGTAAAGGGAAGCGGAGGTGTTCGGCGGATGTGACTCTGTAAAATCATAACGAGCAAGTACGTAAGTAGCGAGTTTAGTTCATCACAGGAATCGCAATTGCATGACCTTTGAGAAAGGCAGACGGATTTGGACAATAAGGATTATTGAACTGGATAACACATTAAAGTCACAAGTTTCTAGCAAGTTATAAAAAAATATATATTTTAATGTATGGACATTTGTTTAAAAAAAAGATTACTGCAAAGAAGGCAGCATACGACTACTTAGTTGGCTGTATTGTGCTTTTTTTACCATCTTTTTTTGTTTAAGGGACCAAAGGGTCTTAGTAAAGGAAAAGAGGAATGAAGGCGATATGAAGATGCAGGTTAATAAGAATCACAAGCCTAAATGGTTTCTGAACAACTAACACAGGAAAGGGTTTATTCTCACCTTTTCATTGTGAGAGCACCACGTGGCTCTCATTTCCTACCATGAACGTTTAATGAAATAACAACAAATGTATGTAAACATGTTTTTTATTGACAATGTTGCTCAAAATGATTCATGATTACACATTATCAGTCTTCGAGTGATTTAAAAGTGCATTTTATTTAAAGTGATGGAAAAATGATATTAATGGTGTTAGCAATTTGTCACAGGTCATTGCATGATTTGCTAGCTGCTCATTCTTTGTGGTCTGCATGAAAGCTAGTCTTCTGACAGGAGTAAAAAAAAAAAAAAAAGTCACTTCCACAAACCATGGACACACACAGAAAACACTGTATAGTCGGACATAGGGTCAGAACTTAATGCATTTTTACAGTGAAACTTCTCCACTCCTGATGCGGATTTCTCTCGCCATCCTGCAGGTCTCACAGTGTCCGCAGAAAAAGGTCATCAGGGCGTCATTGAGTACGGTTCCCTGTCATTGGAAAGTTGCAACACAATCACAACATGGAAAACCAAACTTCAGAAGGAAATGTTGTATAGTTCAGATTTCATAATCGCATGGGAACACCCAATGTTTCCTATGCTCATGAAATCTCTGTCTTTCATAAGAGCCAATTTGTTGAAAGCAGGGGCTGTCTTCCTGTTTGAGACTTGCAGTAAAACCCACAAGATGAACAAAGGTATGTTGAAGAGTATATAGTAACATGAACATACCTGTATACCATAGGTCAGTCTCATATGTGTCCTCATGGCAGTTAAGCCTCCTGGCACGCAGCCCAAGCAGCAGTTTTCTCCATACTTACTAGCAGTGAAGCAGCTCAATGCAATTGGACAGAAGCAACCAAGAGCACCTGCACAGTGGAGTGGTTTTTCATTTTGAATATTTAATAAAGGTAATTAAAAGTGTGTCTGTACCGTGTATGCACAAAAATTATAATAAAAAGAATAATGTTAATTACGGCTTCATGAATAGTACTCACAGACTAAGAGGTCACTGCAGCAGGAGCACAGGCCTGTGCTCCACTCTCCTGTTTGCACATTTGTTCCATAGCCACCACTGCCTGGTTGATGGGTGACCACTGGGTTTGACATGATTGATGACTGGATTTGGTTTTGGAGCTGGTTTTTAATTAGCCTCCTGGTTTAAAAACAAACAAACAAAACACAAGCTGTTTATGTGGACAGAACAGAAGCATGGTTTGCTAGAGTGGAAAAGCTTTAAGGGAAAATGTTTTAAACCAATCTCTCCATGTTCTGCAATTGTGTTTACACCTTTCAGGCGGCTAATTTATATTCATTAAATGTCACAGTTAAGATTTCCACTGAGAAATACAAATAGTTAAGGGCGATCCATTTGAGAATTACACTTGATCTATCAGTCACACAGCTTAGTCAGGATTCACAAATATTCTTGCAAAGAATGTGATGCATGAAAGAAATTTCACACTAATCGGTGGTGTGCTTTTTAAAAAATTAAAAAACTAATAAATTGATAATTGTTCACACAATACTTATTTAGTTTAAAATAGCTCATAAAATTCATTGTTCAGCCAAATACTAGTGAATCAAACTTGAGAGACATAACATAAAAGTTGTAGAGAAAGACAAAGGTCTGCACACTGTTCAGTTCCCATTTTAAACAGGGAAATGTTTCGATCCTCCTCAGGCAAATGTGGCAGGAGACAAACAGTCTTTACTGAAGTGAGGCAATCAGCAAAAAAAAATATTATCACCTACAATTCTACAATTCATTAAGAAGACACTTTTATCCAAAGTGATGAACATCAGAGAGTAAGTACAACACAAGCAGAAGTCTAGAGAGGAGGAAACAGTCCAGATGAACAGCTTTAAGTCCGATGGGACACACAGGTGATGACAGGCAGTGCACAGAGACTGGGCACTACTTTATTTTCTTAAGTTCATTATCGTCATCAACAGCAACTTCAACAGCTGAGTTCTAATCAGCATCAAAACCATCCTAAACATCATCGTCATCATCAATATAAAACACCAGTTGAACAAAAACAACAACAACAGGGACAATAAATATAACAAAACACAAGAGGGTGAGGGTTCAGGCAAAAACATATTTTGAAAGGATGTTTGACCTAGCAGAGTTTTAGTGAGACAGGACTATCGACTAGCTAATAGAGAAAATAGAGCAATACGTTTAGAATGCTACACACAATGTAAAAAAATGAGTCTGCAGCAAAAAGGAGAAAACAAAGTCCTAAGAGGAAAAGATCACCCTCACCATCATATTTATTGTCCCTGTTTATTTTTTAGGTGATAATGATTTTTTTGCAGATTGCCTCCCTTCAGAAAAGATTGTTTGTCTCCTGCCACGTTCGCCTGAGTTGCCCTGTTGGAATAAGGTTGCTCATTGGGAGCTGAACAGTGTGTGGACATTTCCTCTTTTTTTTTGTCCTGCACCTCCTGTATGCATTTTGCTTGAATGTGCACAAACTAGTATTCTTTTTTTTATACATGTGTAAAGAAGGCTATCATCTGTGTTAATTATCTATTAGTGATAAGTTAAGGAAGCGTTAAAACTGGTTTACAAAAGTTATAGTCACACAGTAAAATGATGAACGCCACTGAAGAAAAGTTTCATAATCAAACTTTGAGCCAACTGTGTCTCTCTTTCACTCACTTCATGTGAATGCACAACTTTTAACATGCAAAACACGACAACTTAACTGCTAAAAAGTTACATTCTTTAGTGAATCTACTGTGAGAGGAAGAAAAGGTGTCACTTACCAGAAGAGTCTGTCAGTGTGCTCTCCTCCTGATCTAACTGACAAAACTGCACACCACCACACAGGAAGCTGTGACGAGCTGAAGCTGTGAAACGCTGCTTTAGCAACAAACTGTTGCTTCTGGAGATGACAAAGATCTGTGGGTCATTCACCGACAAACTCTAGACCATTATCGAGAACTTCTCATAATGCTTAGAGGCTGATAGCGGGCAAAATCATAAACTGCTACAGCTCACTTACCTGTGTATCTGTAATGAGGTTAACATGCTCTTCAATCTCACATTAGATCAGCAGTTCACAGAATTTACTGTTATCAGTGGATTACATCCTTTTTGTGTTAGATTTGATCATATATTTACTATGTCGTCAATGCAGTTAACATTTAAAGGGGATAGATTTACTCAATATCTGATATATGTATATATAGATAAAAGCAGCTGCAAGAACTTTTCTACTTATTGTGTAACACCCCAGAGGAAATCAAAATGTAACCTCTTGGATGCACATTGAACTTTATTTGTTACTATCCAAGACTTGAAACAGTGGAAGATTAACAGGAAGTAGCAAGGTTATTGAGGCTACACATTCAATGCATCCTCCTGTCTGAAACGTGTTGTTTTCTGATACAAAAGACAAAGATCATAAAGTGACCATGTGGTCAATTAATGGGGGCCAAAGTAGGACCGGTTCAATTTAAAGTAAAATCTAATTATTGTCTGGACAAAATGAGAAGCATTTTTTTTTTTTTAACATCATACACTTTGTTCATATGTGGTTTCATATGACACTTCCCTGTTTTTTGTTTGTGAGATATGCACATTAATGGAGAGACATCAGAGTGAGGAGGCTGCACAGACACTGGTGCCCCAAGCAGTTGGGTGCCTTGCTCAAGAGCACCTTTCCAGCTAGAGGTCCCAATTTGCATTCTCGCTCGGTACCAGGACTTGAACCAACATCCCTTGTTTCCCAACCTAAGTCCTCAGATTGAGCGTCAGAATCCTTAACTGTACAGCTACAAAATAAAAATAACTACTTATCTGGCTGTAAACTAAAATGTAAACATTTCTAGCTTCTATAAAATTGAACATGTTTTCAACAGTTTAGTATAAATCCATCATTATGAACAGACTTTCATGTTATGCCTCTAACTTCTGATTTAAGCTATTTCAAAGCCCTTTATGACAAACATTTTCCGTCCAGCCATCCATTATCTATACCACTTTTTCCGTTTGGGGTTGTGGGGACTGGTCGCCATGTTAATCACAGGTCTGACATATAGAGATAGACAACCAAACAACCAGGCCAGAGTGAACATGGAGAACATGCAGACTCCACACAGAGAGGCCCTGTGTGATGGGGATTCAAACCACTGCACTGCCGACAAACATTTCAAGTCAATCAAACCGAGATCAGAAAAGATAAATCATACTGAGGAGGCTCAAAGATGGCGACACAGTGTGTGTAAACAATGAGAAGAACTAATCGTTCAAGAGCTCCATGTTTAACCTGCTGCTACTTCCCAGAAAAATATCCTACAGTGTTTTATCAGACAGCTAACTGATCAAATAACAGGATTTTTGCCTTTTGGATATCAGAACAGTCTAATATTTCATGATTGCATAATCTTTTGTATTATCTGCTTCAGTTAATACCTGGCATGAGAGGGCTTAATGGTTGATTCTGTTGTATTATCTGTAGAAATACATTTCCAAAGCTCTTCTGATTTAAACAGTCTGGAAGTACAACTAGTCTGCAAGTATGGTGCAGAACAATCACAACGACAGCATCACAATCAACTTTCTGTGACATTTTATTTCCACTTAATTCTGACATGGACCAGAAAGTGAAAGCAAAACAATATTTTAAAGATGGGAACACATGAACGAGGTCAAATGAGTTTGTAAAAGTGAGGATCAGTTATTGTAATATACAGTGTAATGTCTTTTATTGGGACTCAGCAGCTCTTGTGTTTGTTGTCGTTGCGTCTGTTGATGCTGCACTTGGCTTCATCTTCAGCTCTGCTTTCTGCTTCTGTACTTCTTTGAAGACCTGAGAACAGAGAGGGGACGGAAAGTGAGCGGAGGCTTGACCTTGTCAGTCACTTAAATTAGTGTGTATCAACCTACAGAGACAGCTTGAGTAACGCTCTGAGACATAATGTAACTATTGTCTGACTAGTAAGTTATAAAAGTCTTCAAAGGTCTTTAAATAAGTGATCTTGAGTAGACTAATGGGGGTCATTTGTTGCTACCTTAATGCAGAAGGCCTTCTTGGCTATCCAGCGGCGAGTGGCCCGTCTGTAGTAATCGGGAGGGAACGTGTATGTGATGCCCAGCTGCTGGCACACTTTCTCAAAGGAATCATAGTGTACCAATCGAAGGTTTTTCAACATCTTCTTCCTTTGGTCAATGGCCATTAACATCCGCCTTTTGTTAGCTTTGTCCTGCAGTGAAATTAAACATGAAAGAAGGAAAACAAAGGGGATGAGAAACAGGCTTTTTAAAAACAAAGGTACAAATGAGGACATCAAAGCTGTTTTCACACATGCACAAAACTCCTGAAAACATCTGCATGTGTGAATGCAAACAGCCAAATTTGACCGTGACTACCAGTTGCACGTATTAGAGATGTAACGGTAACGTCAACTTCACGATATCGTAAGATCAAATGCGTCTTGATACCGTCATGGGCCTGTGACAGCCGCAGTGGAGCAGAGCAGACCATCTTCCCATGCGCCCCCCTTCATCCTTTGCACAGTGCTTGACCGTCTCAATAAATAACTGTGTTAAACTCTTGTCACTTTGTCTGCCATCTTGGATTCACGCAGTGTCTTTTTTATACCATGTCTCGTCTCCGGAGACCCGCCCCTCTGCTGTCAGATAAGGAAAACTACCGGCTGTGAGAGACATGTTTGAATACCCAACTGAGCAAGATTTTGTCAGGAGTGCATGTGTGAAAGCAGCTCAAATTAAGGCTTTTTTTTCTTTTCTTTTTTTCTCTCGCTTAATAAGCTTATGTCACAGAAAAACAGCTCAACACTTATTGGTACAACATATACTCTGTATCCGTGTCAATTTTGACCACAATGTTCTATGTATGATGTAACATGGAAATTTCCAACCATGATTGTGCTACGTATGTTCTATTTCAATGTAGCGGGGTGGGGGGGCTAAACAGGATATCCTGTGGCAATGTTTGCCTCAAGCCAGAGGAAAGCAGAGAGGAAATGTGACGACACTTGAGAGTCGTAGTCGACTGTGCTTTGATATGAAAAGTCATCGAAGGTTTTTACGAGCTCTGTTCAAAGAATGGACGTCCTGCGTGACTTCAAAGAGAGAAAGGGAACGCTAAAGTATTCCAGTCTCTGCTGCTTCACTCACATTGTGATGTTTCAGCAAGTGCTCCTGATAGTTACGGATTCTTGCGGTCAAAACAGCCACTGAAAGAAAAACAAATGATAAGGTTACAATACTGTGTATCTAATATTTGTACTCATGAGGTCACACGATTTCAACTTGAAAAAAAAGAAGTGGACTCACCCTTAACTTCCACTGAGCTACGGTCATTCTCATCCCTCTGGACTTTTGCAATCAGCTGTTCCTTTTTTATTTTGAGCTTTTCACTCTGAAAACACAAATTACCGATGGTCAGAAAAGCAATCATAATCATTCAAAACTTCAGAGAACAAGAAGTTCAAGGAATTTTAAAAAAAGAAAGAAAGGGGATCTGTGGGAACGCGGGGAACTTACGTGACTCGCTAACTCCAATGAAAGTAGTCTTTTGACGAGATCATCGGTCCTGTGAGAAAGAAAAAAAAAGTGTTAGCAGAGAAGATGACTAACAGTCTGTGGAGCCTTGAACACAAGTTGTGACTTTAAAGTTAAAGGTAAAATGTGTAGAATTTTACAGTAAAATATCTCAATTAAATACAAATGGAATAAACATGTTATATATTATTTCTGTGGGATTCTTAGATTACCTAGAAAAAGTACTGAGTCAGCACACCAGAAGCTGCTCCAATTAAACAGAACTATATGGAATATCACATGTAACGTTTCGGGCCCTCGCCCTAATTGGAGCAGCTTTTGGTATGCGGACTACTTTTTCTACATTTGAATGTTTTTTTGTCCAGCACCCAGCACTTAAAACTTTCCTGGATGTGCGTAACTTTTTGTATAAATACTTAGATTACCTGAAATATTACCAACCATTTTCAAAGACAGACACAATAGCTGAGAGAATCACTGCCCTGATTCCCTGCCCTACTGTCTCGACGTAACCTTTTGCTATTGATTCAATTTAGAGCTCCCTGGTGGTGGAATTTAAATACTGTGTGTTTTATTTTTTTACTCAGTGTATGTAACATAAAGTATTTATGAATGTTTACGTTTGAGCGAGGGGTACAGCTGTGTAGTCCATCTTCAGCATTGTAGGAGGAAGATCACTGAGCTGGCTCACAGAGACTGAAAAGGAAAAATACATGTTTTTAATGAAACAAGAGCATAACTGAGACAATGTCAAAACTTGCTTCCATAACAAACCGGTTTTATATATTTATTTTTCATATCTATTTTTATAGAGGCAAAGTTTGGAGCCAGTAACCTGCTGCCACAAACAACACCATGTACAGCCTAAGATCATTTGCAATGCCCGTCCATAGATGGGCCAAGCACAACAATAAAACGTACCTGTCTTCTTTTTCTTGGGAGCCCGAGCGTAATGTCTCGCTGGAGGTTGAGCAGCAAAGCTTCCTACAACTGAGAAGGAAAAATATAAGAATATCAAAAACATGTGTACTAGCCTTTCATGGATGTGAAGCGGACAATAGGCCTGATGTTGTTCAGGCCAGCTTTATTTGAGCAGAGACTTCTCTTCACTTTTGATTTGGTCACTTCTTCTGCATGTTATACATCTGGACCCAACTGCAGAACTGTACTATTATTAATAACATGACATTCAGCTCAACAGGGATTCTGTCTGCAATGCATGGCTCCATGTGAAACATTTCTATTCCGTGAAGTGATAAGGAAAGTCATAAAATGAAGTAGAAACTGATCCACAAGATTAAGCTGCTCGATTTGAACGGCATCAGTGAGATTATCTGTGTGAACAAACTGTCCTCAAACCTCAGATTAAAAACGACTACGCACATTAAAAGATGGTGAGATGATAGTGGTCTTTAATAGCAGTATCTCTAAAACACCCAAGTGTGGTAACTTCCTTTTAACACTGCTGCTTCACACCTCCTTCACAAATCAAGACATAGACACGTCTGTAGTGTCTGATGACATTTTAGACGAAAAGGTTTTGCTTTTCTTTGTGTTCCTTATCATCCAAAGTACCACAAACACTCATTTACGAGGCAGTTTATTCAAAGCGTAAATATTACAAGTTATTCCATTTTTGTAATACACTTCTGTTTGTGAAGAAGCTATTTTCCAAAAACTGAGGAGTGTAGTGGTCTGTTCCGAGAAGAAGCCAACCAAACCCGAGACGGGCCTGTTGATAAAGGCTTGATTCTGAGTTTTTGGAGATGAACTTGATACGGTTCTAATAAAAAGAGATAGAGCATCAAAGACAGACGTGACCTTGAAAAGAAGAAAGTCACATATCTGTGAAAAGCAAGCATTAAAAAGCCTCTTCCAACCAAGTTCCCTTTAAACACTGCAGTCATATTTCTAGGATGTACATATATATTTGTAAATTATACAACTACTATAACTAATTATATAACTCTCAGTCGTCAGTTTACTGCTAAATAGTCAGCCGTCATAGTAGCTGGATCAAACTACAGTCTACACATGTGTTACTCAACCCGCGGCTCTCGAGCCACATGTGGCTCATTTGGGACTAGTTGTGGCTCTTTAAGTTCCTCCTTGGAGGAAAAAAAAAAAGCCTAAGTAATTATTTATAAAGGGAAACATTGTCAGCAGAAATTATTCTTTGCAAGTCATGCCACTGTGTTTCCCACACATATTTTAGGAAAGAAAGAGGTTTTTTTGAATTGTGGCTCTTGCAGAAATATTTTTTGCTCAATGTGGCTCTTAAGTCTAACAAGGCTGAGTACCACTGGTCTACACTGAAGTTAATAATTAGGCTGAATGACATGTGAACATTTGACTCTTTTTCTTTTAGCTTTTGAGCACCTAACACGTGTTGATTTTTTCCTATCCTCCCTACTTAAACTCTTACTTTCTCTACATTCGATTAGCTTTTTTTTTTTTTTTTTTTACTTGCATGGAGTCTATTTTCTACCATTTCATTAAAAGTCTTATATGAAAGTCGAAGGCTCTCCAGATTCTTAATCCAAAACCCTCACTCCTCTTCTCCAGCCTCTACTTAAAGTGCACGCTTATTTGTCTGTAACAAATGGTCTGGACTCAGTGCTGTGACGTTCAAGCAAAGTGTTGTGAAGGTGCCATTTGGTGAGGAATACTGAAATTCAAAAAGCTGAAGGAATCGAGGTGCAAACAGCTCAGGGTGTGTGTGACACCCTGAAGAAAGGCAGGTGGGTTCTTACTCAGAATGTTGTTTCTGATTTTAGCAACTTCAGTTGAGAAATAGTCAATATGGTAATGCACCCCCCCCCCCACCCCAAAAAAAGGAAGTGTGCCCTGGTTTTTTAATCTTTTTTTAATTACTTTGTTATTGCAGTTCTGTTGTGTGTTTTCAAACTTTGCTTTATTGTCTGTTTTGTTAAGTCTTATCTGAACGCTTCGTCTGTAACAATGTTTTTGAATTTGTGGTTGATTTGCACAGTAGGTAACATACATATATTTGATATAAGGAATATATATCTAAGGAAGTCTAGATTTTTTAAATACTTTGGGCAGGAGCGCAAACATTTTTAGTGAAAGTTTTTCAGCCGTTCTAAGTAATTTAAAAATCCTTCCAAACACAAACATAACATTTATACCATTTTGTAGACTACAGTAACACAGTGGATGATTTAATATATATTTTAATATTATCTGCATAAGGATGTCCAAATGCTATTCACGTTCTTTTTTAAATCTATGGAGGTGTTTTTTTTTTTAAATTACATTAAAGGAGACTAAACTTGACATTATGACGGGGAAAAAAAACCTTGAAAATCCAAAACATATTTATGTACTTTAATAAACAGTTGTAAATAATTGCGTTAATCTGCTCTTTGAAGTTGCAGCACTCTTGTCAACACTGCCCCCTGCTGTTCGCAGAGGATAACAACATGCTGGAGCTTCACTTTGACACAAGGCAGTTCGGCATGTTATCCTGCAAAATGAAATGGTCTTGACAGCTTTTCCCTGAACACAGACGGTCAGTTATCTTAAAGGTTATCATGTCTTTTTTGTACACTTACCACAGCTGACTCTGGGTCCTGACAGCAGCGCCGAGCTGCATGTCCAGGGTTTCAGTGAACGAGCGGAGCACAGAGCGCCGCTCGACCTTAAAGCACTTCGCAGAGCTATGTTTGCCAACATGGCTGTAAAGATAGTTTACTACTGAGGAAATTAACAGTGGTTAATAGTGGTAGAATTAGCTAAGGTAATCACACTCGACCCCTACATGAGGTCCGCCATTTTGACTAGACCACACTAATTGAGTGACGATGGAGGGATTTTTTTTTTTTTTTCTTCAGGCTGTGCAAACAATCCCAGACCACATCGATGAGACACGAGAAAAAAAAACGGTTTAATGAAAAATAGATTAAATAAAACCGATTTTTTTTATTTTTTTTTTTTATTTTTTTTTTTTTACAAATGGTGTTTTAATCAATAAAAAAATACAATTATTTTTATACAAATCAGAGACATTTACACATCAAAATTGATCACAAAAGTTTACGTTGAGATACATTTCCATAGCAAAAATCAAACGTGCCGTTTTTGTTGGGTGTAAAAATAATTTCCCAATAACAGTTTGGCTTTACCTGAAATCCCAGGCTGCTTTAAACTTTGATTTTTAATGAGCCTTAGCTTTCAGATCACACTGAAAAATTATAAACTACTCAGCTTTCCTTTTAAATCACATCCACTAGTTATAAGAACACCTCTCTCAGCAAGCTTGATAAGTACATACCAAATTTAGAGGTATAGTTGTAAATGATCAGTCAGGGGGGAACACATGTCTTTAAAGCTTTTGTTCCCTCAGACATTCTGTTTTAATTGTGTCCCCTTGGCTTACAAGTACACAGGTGGTTAACATACAACACCGTACAGTATATATTTTCATTAGCAAAAACACCAACATTGAAAGTCTAAGAAGTCTGCAGATAAAGCACACATAACATAATCATTGAAAATCAAATTTGTTTTCATGGATTTTCAGCTGTGTGTCATGTTGAATCATCTTGTAATGGCTCAAAATACAAACTCAGATCTTCATTAACATCTTGCAAAAACTTTACGTTTATAATCAGAAATGTACTTTTAGTCAATTTCAGTCTCGGTCATCGCTAATGCTCGTAGAAAAGGAAAATCATCCCACATAGTTTCTAATTCTTTCCCTTTGTTTGTTACACAATCAAGGTCTGGTCCAAAAAAACATTGCTCTGTTGGCCTCTGATCAGTCGCCATGTTCTGGTAACACTTTGGACTGAAGGTTTCTTCACTCTCCAGGAGGGGCTGCGTGGACTCTGAGCGCAGGTAAACAGGAGGCCCTTCAAGAGTGGGGCTGCTGCATGGACCGGAAAAGATCACTGTAGCGTAAGGGACAGAGTCGCTGTTTGAACCGGAGTAGCCGGGGATGAATGGTGATCCACAAATGGATTCTCCCAGGTCACTGGTGTCCTCTGAACTGTTCAACCACAGGTCATCATGGTCCTCTTTACTTATTTTGGCAGGGAGGTCCAGGAAGCTGAGGTGGGACAGGTACACCAGATTGGGCTCCTCATTGTCAGATGTAAGATAGCTATCCTGCACGAGGAAAATAAACAAGACATTATTTTCTTAAATTGGTAAATGACAAAGTATACAGCTGACACACGTGTTAGCCAGATATTTATTTAAGTCCTTTATTCCACTAAAACTCTGAAGGTTAATATCTGGCTCTTATGCTTCTGAATACTCCACGATGTTCACAAGCTAGCTGCTAACTCTCTGCTGTTGGGCTCTGGGCATATACGTTGGATCAATCATAGCCCTTCTGTAGCTGGAAATTAGTTCAAGGAGAACTCTGAATCTGTACCATAAGTCTAAATGTTCAGTTCAGAAAAACCTAAACAATGAGCAGAGAGATGCAAAAAAAAAGGGGAAGGAGTAGAGGTTGATTGCAGAGTTGAAGGTAATTATCTGTGGCTGTGACTTTATGTGACAGTATTGATTGATACAGTTTTAATCATGCAAACCTGTGGACAATATGGTGAAAAGTATGGCCTGCCAGAACAACAACCCCCCCCCCACCGGATTGTTGATGGACGGTCTGCCTCCCCCCACCCCCTTGCTCCCTATCCCTCTTCCTGCATCTTATCCCATCTCTCCCCCCTATCCCTTTCCAACCCTAGGCACAGTCTAGGCCTGTGAAGGCTGTTTCGTCATGAGCTGGGGATCCAGCCGAAGATTTCTGCCTTTTAATAAGGCAGTTTTTTCTTACCATTGTAACTTTTGCTGCTTTGCTAAAGTGCTCATGATGGATAGGCCGGGTCTTTGTAATATAGCAATAAGTAAAGTCTTTTACCTGCTTTTTGTAACATAACAATGAGTAAGGTATTTTACCTGCTTTTTGTGTCTCGAGATAACACTTGTTATGAGTTGACGCTATACAAAATAAATTGAATTGAATTGAATTGAATTGAAAAGTAACCCACTGGTTTTGAACATCAACATTTATGCCAGTTTGGGGACTGGACCTTATGTTGTAGCATGTTAGCTAATTTGACACTTTGTGGGAAAGCCAGTGGCACACTCTGGTCACTCAAAGCAGCAATGGCCGCCATTATTCACAACTTAATTTATTTCAAGTAACTGAGTTGTATAAAAAAAGTAACGGTTGTAGAGTTCTCATGAATAGAAATATAGCTTAGGAGTCTGTTTTTATACCAGACTGTATACATGTGGTGAGTTTTAAAAAGGGCCTAATGAGGATTGACTCGCTTTTGGAGCCAGCCTCATGTGGCAATTTGTGGTACTACAGTTTTTGTCACTTTCCAGTATGCTTAACTTTTCTGCCCCAGAGGTTTTTGCTTGGCTAAACCATAAAGTGGGTTAAGGATTAAGCATTTAATCTTGAACTAGTTCATCTTTTCACACCTGTGTTGATTCTGATGTCCATCTCTTGATGCTGCTGTTAGCCGGATCGGGAACCGCTGGCCAGAAATGTCCCTTCAGCCTTAAAAAAGGAAGAAAAGTGTAATTAGAAGAAATTAGACAATAGCTCCACAGCTTAAGAAGAAGTAGCGATGATCTCACCTTTTTTGGTAGGAGAAACATGTCATGAGTATGACAAAAATAAAAAGTAACAGTCCAACCAGTGAGCCAATTACGATGATCAGAATAGAAAGTGAATCTGGGAGGAGAAAAACATACACATACTCTGAATGAAATATCTGCTGTGGGAAACAAACTCTCTTGATTTTCTGTCATGTTTCCAGGATTTGCCAATTTGCCAATTGATAATACCAACCCAGTGGCTCAGTTTCAAAATTAATTGTCGACCCGTTACGGCTTCCACCAAACGTGCTAACCATCATGAAAGCCTCATACAGAGACACGGAGTCGAGGTCTGTCAGGACCACCCTCCTTTCGGTTGGGTCCGCATGTGCAACTGAAAGAAAAGTCCGTCATCAGATAGCGACCAACAACCCAACAATGTTTTTAAAACAGTCACATTAAAGTCTTTAACCCACCATTTATGGGTCCTTTTGCATTCCAGAAGAAGACTTTGTAGTTCTTGATTATGCCGTTCCTTTGGTCTAACGGTATTTCATCCCAGATCAGCTCGATTTGTGACTGCCAGGTCTTTTTGATTGTTATTTTTGGAACCATTGATGGAGCTTTAAAAAGAAACATCATCATGGGTGAATATTGTAACTATGGTGAGCTGAAGAGTCAGAAAAGAAGGTCTATGGACAGAGGGTTTTCCATGCTGTCCTGACTGTACAGCTCTGTGAGGCATATTTATGATAAGAGCTTTATAAACAAAACTGACCTGACTAATTTGAAACCTTCAGGCCAGTGAGAAAACAAGAATTCATCTCCATCCACAAGAGGGCATTAGTCCATCATGTATCAGCTGTTCCTGAATTATTGCTCAACATATATTTGTAAAACTCGATTGGCAAACTCTTTTCTCACTTCTTCAAAGTTAAAGAAACCCCGACTCTCACACCTCCGCCTGCTCTTTGTGTGATCCTCTATGTGTCTTTGGTGACTTACCCTTTTGCCTCGAGTAGGCATTAACAGTCTGAGGAAGGCCTATCCCATCCTTAAACCTTGGATACACAGAGATCCCATAGGGCTTGTAGGGCTCAAAGCTGCCTATTGATGAGAGTGAAGAGGTTGGAGTGAATCAGAACCCATAAGCTGAAAAGTGTGTTTGAAGGCTGGAAGTGCACGGGGAAAAAAAGATGTGTGCACCTTGTGGTAAAGGATGAAAAACAGATTACGAAACTAAACAAAAGGTGAAATAAAGAGGACATGGATCATAAAAGCTGCAGTACAAACACCATACCTGTTATAACAAGGCTTGTCTGGTTTCTGTCAGTCATTTCAAACTGGGTGAGGGAGAGGTCTGATTTTAACAGAGGTCTCCATTCCACCACGAAACCAGTGAGGCCAAAAGAAACCAGGCTTCTCCACTGGACTAGGAAGGATCTATCATCACGAGGAACGACTGTAGCATCTGATATCCCTGCAACAGCTACAAACAAATTACACATTATACACACAATGTGTATACCGTAAAAACTTCCATTAACAGCCCAGGCTTTTATATACGTCGATCTATAAAATGACCCTGCCTTTAAATAGGACAGGCGTCGATGGACCTGCTGTTAATTATTTTTTATACGAAACTTGTGCACAGCAAAGATAGAGAAGACTATACATTGTAGATTTACACCAAAAATAATGTTTAATTGTGTTAAAAATGTAGGATATCCATAAAACCAATGTAATAATGAAACTGTAGTTTTATCTTGCTGTCTAAGAGAGCAAGGCTGGTGCGCATTCTAGCATTTTCACACCTTTCTTGGACAGATGTTGAAGTTATTATTTCAACACTTAATGCATCGGGGCCTCTTATTGGGACCTGTTTATATTCGTCAAAACACGCAGCAACACCAGGCTAGTGAAAGAGACTCAGCCTTAAATTGGGATGGGCCTTTGAAGTTTTATGGTAATCATACATGAGCGCTTTTCTTCACAGGACTAAGGTCAAAGGCTCTTGTGAACACTCAAAATATATTCTGTTTGCTTTAAAATGGGAAATCTTAAGTCGTGAGAACATTTCAGATATACATGGATGTTGGATTTGACATAAGATCTCTCTTTGTTTGTACCACCTGACAACATTAAAGCTCCTGTGATGAACTTTCGGTTCGTGCCGATTTTGTCACCCCATGTGAACAAAGAAGAACCCCTTATCTCTTCGCTGATTTTGTCCTGTACATGTTGTGATTTCTGATGAAAACCGAAATCCTGCCTTCAAATAACAGTCAATGTGTAAGTATGTTTTTTGTGATGTGCAGTTACTCACTACAACTGACACCTACTCTGCTGTTATGGTTACAAAAACAGCATATAGAAATGATATATCTTCTTTCTGATTTTCCTGTCTGTAGGACATAATGAAGCATCAGTATTCATTTCAGTCTGTTTCGTACCCAGATAAAATAAATCCTCACAGGAGCTTTAAATAGATTCACTATTAATGTATAAAAGCCAATGTCAATTAGAATTCAGTTTTACCTTTAGGTAAGTAAATCCGAACTTCCGTAGGTGGAGATTTCCCCACTGCATTAACAGCCCTCAGAAACACCTTCCTTACTTTCCTGGGAATCCGAAAAGTACAGTGATTCCTGGTAGTAGAGCACACCTTTCCCCTTTCACCTGGCAGCCTTTGCACCGACACAGTGTATGACACGTTTTGGCTGTTGGCATGGAATTGTTTCGATGGCTGAGGAAAAAAAAGTGAGAAGTTATTTTATAAGCAGACCTCACACATACAACAGAAAAATACATCTCGTTTGTGACAGCTGTCAAGCTAGTCGTAAGATGTGTGTACCTACCTTCCAAAACAGGTGTATGTTGAGCGTTTCGTTCATGTGATTCCCTGATACCTTCGTCCATGAATCTAAGCGTCCAGTGGGAGCTGAAAAGAAAAAGATGGCGGTCATTTAAGCGTCTCTTCAAAGGTCTGCACTTCTCATCTCTGTCTTTCAAAAAACTAAACTTTTCCTTATAAGTGATATCAGTGCTTCCCATGGGGGGGGGGGGAAGGTTAGATTTTTATAACGTTTATGTGTGCAGGCTATATTAAATGTGCTTAATTATCTAATCTGCTTATCTCCCAAGCACTCATGCTCCTCTCTTCTATCCTTCCTCCTACCTGTCTTACACACAGCGTTCGGAAAGTCCCCTCCTTCCTTTATTTTGTAGCTTTGTTTATTGTGGGTTATTTACAAAACTCATGGTATAGAGCGGTTCAATTACATTACTCGTGTTTTTAAAACTGTTTCACTTGATATTCCTTTATCAAATCAGGGGATCTGCACTTATCACTTATTATAACGGCAGCAGTATCTCAGTCTGTAGGGACTTGGGTTGGGAATCGGAGGGTCGCTGGTTCAAGTCCCGGCACGACCCCAGTACGGAAATTGGTCTGGTAGCTGGAGAGGTGCCAGTCCACTTCCTGAGCACTGCAGAGGCGCCCTTGAGCAAGGCACCGAACCCCAAAACTGCTCTGGAGTGCTCGCTGTGGATAGGCCCCTCACTCTGAGACCTCTCCATTAATGTCCTGTTTGTGCGTGTGTGTGTATTTTGGCCTATGTTTGTGTAGCATGTTCATTAGACAGAGTGTAAAACCGAGATTAATGAAGTATTATTATTATTATTATTATTCTTCATGATGACCCATCACTGCAGCTGCAGAGAAATATTAAAACTACTGCAGGAAGCTAGAGTTTTCATATGAGACGTAGTTCCTCAATCGGTGCATTTACAGAAGGGAGAATTCTCCGCTGACTCCTCACTTTCTCTTTTCCTCTCCATCTCGCTCTCGTGTGTGTCCATTTTTTGGCTCTGATTTTATGGATGAATTATTTTATTTAAAGGCTCGGGAAACATATTTGGCCCGCCCAGGTATCACCTTTGTGTGTGAAACACAGGACATGTATGGATTCACTGCCAGAGTGGGCGGCAGAGCTCAATACTTCCATCGAGCTAGTGCTTTAAAGCAGAGCAATGGGAGATGTAGAACATTACATTAGCATATATTGAAAGGAGCAGGAAATGGAAGAGAAGGCAAAAGATTGGAAATAAGAATGACTGATTGTGTCACTCTGAATTGATCGCAGTCTCACCGCTCTCCAAGGTGACACCAGAGTGGCTGCTGCTCCAGTCACTCCAGGGGCTCTGCTTGTATCGGACCCGAATCTGGGCGGCATACCGAGTCCCATGGAGGAGACGACACAGGCTCACAGGTCTGGATGTTCTGAACCGACCCACTGGGATCTATCATGTGGCCAAGATCACAAAAACACAGAAAACAGATATGACTATAGACACACACACACAATACAACATCACTGTGGTTGCTTGTTGCTGATGAATACAAAAGTGACTGAAATAGTTTTACTTGTCACGAGTGTGAATTCCACTCACTGGTTGTTCAGTCCATTGGCTGCTGTCAGCAGTCTTAAGTCGCACTTCTAGGTTCAGGGCTTCCAACATCCAGTCCTGGTGATGAGATAATCTCCAGCTCAGCTTTAAGCAGCCATATTTTGTAGACACAGCTTGCAGAATTATTGGTGGATCAAATTTAGCTGAAATAAGACAGGATGTCATTAAAATGTCATTCTTTATTTTTTTCAGATGTATCTATTGTTTTTAATATTTGAAGAAAATATCAAATTAGAACAAGTTAGTGTCAGTCATGTAGTAACATCACTCTGGAAACAAAAACATAAAATGTTTTTGGTTCTCTTTTGCTGTTTGTTTTGTGTCAGTATTGTCAGTATTTTATTTAGGAGAAAACTGATGTAACAACTCTTGGAACGAGTTACAAACCTCTTTTGTGATACAGTTTATGTAACATTTGTATCGTCTATGATTACTATTATATAGTCAATGCCTTGTGAACAGCTGAAAGGTTCTCTTTTAAAGACATATATTTTGGGGGCATGTTTGCCTTTATTGGATAGGACAGCTGAAGAGAAAGAGGAAATGTTGGGAGGAGAGAGTGGGGGTGTGACATGCAGCAAAGGTCTGAGGTTGGATTTGAACACATGGCCGCTCCGACGAGGACTATAGCCTCTGTACATGGGGTGCGCAACATAACCGATAGGCTATCTATGGTGCCCTCAGAAAGGTTCTCTTTTTAAGTAGACAAGGTAGAGTTTAATTTAAAGAGCAATTAACCAATCAAGAATGCATTCAGATTACAATGCCTATTAATTGTCGAATATTGTGTTTTGTATCCGTTCATTCTTTATGCCTGTCAAAGCATGGAGCCTTCATTATCCACACTGCCAGCAAGTGACATCACATGAGGATATTTAACATATTTTTCAAAGCTCCCTCTAGGAACTGTTCAGGTAAATATAATTTTGAAAAATTACACTTTAATACTTAAAATACAATCAATCAATTCAATCATTCAACAGAAGAATACTTCCTGTATTTCTCACCTGCACTGACTGGCTCTAAAATGATGTGTTCAGTGGTTGCTTCCCCGAGGTCATTACGGGCCTTCACATAAACTTCCATGTCTGAGAACAGGACAAAGTCAGAGCGAGGGATGGTGTATTGGTGGACCCCTGGTAGTATCTCATATGTGTAGTTCTGATTTAAATCCCTGAAAAGAGGAAATGATCTTTTGAAAAACACATTGAGCAATCTCACAGACCGATTTTGTAAACGGCATTCCTGACACCGACATGATGTTCGCTTTCTGGTAACTGTTTCAGAGTAGACCATTATTACAGAAACTTACCAAACCTCTGTGTGGAGGGTATACTTTGTGAGCAGGTGGGTCTCCAGCTGCCCCGGGTCCCAGCTACAGGTCAGGGTGTTTGGTTTGGTGAGGTTGGTCTGACAGGTGAGGCTTTGTGGTGCTTCTGGTGGATCTTTAGATATAATTACAAGAGAACTGGAGTTTTTTTATTCATGGAATTGATGAGGACTCAGTATTCACTGTTTGCTCCCACATTTTTAAAGCAGGAATGTTCTTATGATCTGACTGCATGAGGACTTGTGGGACAGGAGGTGAACATGTATACAAGGAAGTTATGTTTAACCATAATCTATGAGTTATATTGAAAACAATGAGATTGAGTATATATAGGGTAGGGTACATGATATAATTGTATAAAGATATTTTCACAGATTTAGTATTTTACATTTTCTTTGAATTTTCATTAATCGTATTCATAGCAGTAATGGCTATAGTGCAGATGGAAAGTTAAGAATGAAACTGTTGAAAAAGTATCCCTTCATTAATCTAGTTGTAAAAATCCCTTTATGACATATGTGATAAAACTTCAAGCTCTTGTGAATAACTCTCAGGATTTGTTAATTTTGGCACCACGCTGTGGACATGGTGGGACATTTTATCGCTTTACGTCAACAGTTCCTTGGTTTGCCAAACATTTCCATATTTCCTGATAAATCTTGCTCTGATGTGTCTTGAACTAGCAGCATATAGACAATCTTATTTGATCAGTGATGCACAAACACGCACAAGAATAAAAAAATCCTTCTCACATCCAGCTCGGATCTGCACTCCTCCCACCACTTGAGCCGGAGAGCCTCGGACAGAGCAGGTTAGGAACGCCCTGGTGTGATTGAAACTCGGTACAACAACCTGAGACACTCTGCTGCTATCATTGGCCCCGGGGCTGCTGGGTAAAAAGCGACTGCCGAGGTGCCACTCTATGTGAACAGCTTGTCCAATGGCCAGAGGGCAGTCTTCTCTGATGACACAGGTGGCTGTGACATTGGACCCCAAAGGCACCACGGAGCTGGACGATTGAACCGTTGCACACGGCTCTACGTCATCTTCTAAGAAAGGGAAATGTAGTTTTTTTTAACTTTGCATTAAAATAATCCTAAGTAGAGAAAATTGTGATAAAAAGTAAAGCCTTTTATTTGGTATGGATATGATCTCTGAGGAAAAGAGAAGAAAGGCTTCATAACAATCTTTGCAACTACCCGTTAGGTATTTCCATTTAGATTTGCAATTTCATTCTAAATGCAACACTCACCATTTCTCGCTCCATTCACCAAAGCCAACAGCATGACAATCACTGACACCCATGTGGATATCATGATGATAAAACCTGTTAGGGAAGCCAAAATGAAATGCATTTTCCTTAAATTACAATTTTTCATGCCCTATATCAAAACTATATATTTGAATTGCCATCGCTTCCGAGCGGCATGACGCGATGTGCGAGGTGAGGTATTGAATGCGATAACGTGAGTCGCTTCAAAAAAGACATCATCAGCACGGTGTTTTCGAGTGTCTGATGTGAGCGGTGGGTGTGATCTCCATAATGCATAATGTTTCAACATAAGCAGACGGCTCGAGAATGCACCCGCTGTTCACATTACAATAAGGCAATCTGCAGCGTGGGCAAAGTGTTTGCAGAGCATTCTCAGAACAAACCCAAACACAGACACATGACACACTTGAGAATATAAAATTCAACATTCGTGACAGCTAGGATCCACATTTACACAACATGATTACACAAAGGATGTGACATTTAAAGCTCTAGACGCTGGCATGAAATTGAATTTGTCCTGCAGATGGAATAAGTGTATGCTGACAGTGTATAGGCTACTGTACCTCAATCTGTTACCAGGAGGTACTGTCTTAAATAAGACAGGAAGCTTGTTATTTCTAGTGTTAGAAGGTAACCAGTCCTGATAGGCATGCATTCTGTATTTGTTCATGGACCTCACATAACAAGCACAGGTGTTATCGTGTGAGTTTTGGGGATTTGTACTCACCATTACACGACCAGGGTCTCTGTGGACTGTGAATGCCAACTCACAATGAAACTCCAACAAGGCACAGACATGCCTTCACAGCATCTCTGTGGCTCTCTCAGCTGTAAAAGTGAAACATCAAAAACAGTCATTAATGGGTTAAATAACAAAAAATAATGTCAGCCAATGAAGGACTTCAAAAAGTATCCTATATTTAACATCTAAAGTGACATCCATTTGAAAAACTAACATATAGACAAAGGTCATTATCAAGTATTTCTTATGAAAAAAACATCCCAAACCAAAGAGTGAAACAGTAAGTCTTGTGGAGTTCATATATTCACAAGTGCATGCATGTGTGTGTTTCTTTTTTCAATTATGAAACAGCATTTCACAAACCAGACATGTTTTTTCTTTTAGTTATTTCACAATTTATTTCTCAATATATTTCACTTATGAAAACAAGACGTTTTGTAAGATTTATTTCAGTGATTCATCAAGCAAAAACAAAATAATCACTATATCTTGTTCCAGCTTCTGAACTTTGCAGACTTATTTTTGATTATCAAGCACATCTGACAGACACCCATGTGGATATCATGATGAACAGCAAGCTAAAGGTGGACATCATTGATGCCACTTATTTATGCCCTGGACAACTTCAATACTTTTTTCTTTTTACAGACAAAAGGTTAATAAGAAATAATCATCACAATATTTGACTGTGGAAATTCTATTAATGATAAAAAAATTAATTTATTGATTTCTTTATTTCGAACATTGAAAAAAAGTTGCTGTAATTAAAAATATGTTAGAAGTACAATAACATATTAAAGGGATACTTCATCCATTTGCATTAAGCTTTGTATCATTAGAAACCTGGTAGTATTTTTGAATGGTCGTGCATCCCGTCCTCATTTTCCCCTGAGATGGTAAATCTTTGTATTTCTAAGTCTGAAAAGGAGCTTCCAGTGACGCAGAATGAGGATTTTTGCATCACTGGAAGCTGTTGCGGTTAGCGGGGTGAAACTACAATGCTAGTTCCTCATATTTTTGACCACTGAAGCTACAGACCAATCACAGATCAGTGGGTGGGAACTCACTCCCAGAATCGAAACTTAACGTCCGCCATATTGCTTGGAAGCTATGCTAACAGGCTCTATGGAGAAAGCTTTTGTTTTGTCTTGTGTTTTGTCTGCTGCAGCCACAGCTAGCCGCCTGGGCAGCCACGACACCAGACTGGCCTGTCGGCAGAAACCGTCTCGCGGCTATATTGCTATATTACTGGCCGCTGCCAGCTCAGCAGCCGAGGCATAAGGCCTGCCCGTCAGCGGCGGTGAGGACGAGGAGTCCGGGCCGGCTCAAGCTGGGGCGGACTGGTAGTGTCGGTGCTCTCACTGTTTGCCTATGGACACAGACATAGAGTCGGTTTTCTGCAAGGAATTTCCAAGATCAATTCTGTTAGAAATCTCAGAATCAGTTGAGGAAACGGCCTTATGTGTTGAAGTAAATATGTCTGTAAATGTTTTTATTACTATATTTCTACTGCTATACTGTATATTTTGGAGAAACTGTATCGATCAAATTTCCCTCTGGGATTAATAAAGTATTTCTGATTCTGAAATAAAGGACTTTAGTGGGAGTGGCCTGCGGTGCTGTGCATTCTGGGATTTGATCCAGATGAGCCAAAAAGACACTTTCTGCCTTTTCTCGGCCAAGGAGGCACCAACTTCAAAATATATTTCACATTTCTACTACATATATGACCCAATGTCAATACAGATTCATGTTTCAACGGGTGAAGTATCCCTTTAAGTGCTAGTTCATGTATTAAATGAGATGCAATAAGGGAAATAGGAATTTTATTTTGAACCTGTTAATTTAATGTTTAATTTAAATTTGCACTTCTTTATTACGTGTTTGTTATGACTTTGTGTGTATATATATATATATTTTTTAGATTCATTTTTGGGCGTTTTGTGCCTTTATTGTAGAGATAGGACAATGGATAGAGTCAGAAATCAGGGAGAGAGAGTGGGAAAGGACACAGGTCGGATCTGAACCCGGGCTGCCCGCCTTGAGGACGACAGCCTTCATACATCAAGTGTTTTGTTATTATTAGATCTTTCTTTGTGTGGCTTTGTTCTCCTTTCTTGTTTGTGCGTCTGTCCGTCTGTCTGCCTAATCCCTCGATTAGGAAAATACTAATGGTGTGCACCGACCACTGATTCGAAGGAAGCTGGTGCTGCGTGCGTGTGCCATATACCTGGGGGTGCCAGTTTTAAAAAGCTGGAACGCTTCCCGTCTTCTTCATCACCTCCAAAGAGAGACTTGTTTCACCCAGAAATTGGGTGTTTTGTCTTTTAAAATTGTGTGTTTTTGTTAAAATTGTGAGAATTTTAATTACGTTATGCAGTCCTGGTTATGTTGTAGGGAAGAGAAGCGTTTTCATTTGATTAAACTTTTTCTCCTGTTTTCCTGTTAGGGAGTGAGGCATGATATTTTCTTTTCTTTATTTTATTTGAGGTAAAGTGGTTTGGGTTTTGACTTGGATGTTGTGTTCATTATTTTGTGCTCTCCCTGAAGTTGATTTATTTTGTGTTAATTGTTAACAAATATCATAGCGTGGACTGCAAATTCTTTTGTTTGTGGCTCATCTTTTGGAGCGAGGAAGGAGAGGGTCACTTTAATGCTACGGCTGGTTTCCCTATAGGCTGGTTTCCCAAACGCATGTAGCCTGAGCCAGTAGCTGAAACCACATCATTGAGACACTTCCTGTGGTCGTGTGACACCTGATGTTTTTAGTCTCGATGACTGATTCTGGTGAGGAATGGAAAAATCTGGAGCCCTGTCTGTTTGAGACATCTATATTTTGATGTCAGCATGCTTCAGCTTACTATTTACAAGCCCAAGAAACAAATTCAGATACATTACGATGTCATACATCTTCCCTGCTTCTTAGCATCTCTGAATTTCACACAATGTGGAGTTACTACTTAGTTGAATTTGTTACTTGAGCTTGCTGCCCTTAGACCACAGTAACCGACTGTTTGTTGAAGTCTGCGTTAAAAGCGACGTGAGGGAAATGGAATTTCTCCCCGTTCCTTATCGGCTGCATGCATAAAGGCCTTCATTTTCCCTCGCTTTCCGTGCTTACTACTGAAACGTAATTGCTTGTGGCTCAGACAAAAGGCAGCCGAGAGAGTCGGACGGGGAGAGAGAAAATCTGGAGTGTATTTTGACAACAGACAATTTGATATGCTTAAGTAAAATAAAACTGGCTATTTTAAGCGTTCCAGACAATTTTGTTCTTAATGGATTGATGCACATTTGTTATATGGATGGAGCTGGGTGCCTCAGTGAGTCATGTTTCAGCGTATAGAGAGGAACATTTTGCCACAGCTGCCGTGTGTTTCCTTTCCTGTTGCTGTTGGAGGGGGTTACAAAATGCCCACGCTCGGGATTTGGCAATATCCTCGACAGAGAGTGCAACGACCAACCTGTCACTGTTTCCCCTTTTCTTGTCTTATTTCTCACACAACACAGAGAAGTACTTTTTAAAAAAGGTCTTAAAGAAACTTACTTGTCGTGTCTGTAGATCCTTCACTCTGCGTTGAGTCGACTTCTAGCTCGGACACAGTGACCTTCTGTGTCAGCACTTGTAAAAGTCCAAAAAGCTAAAAAGCAGAAAAGCAATCTGTTTCACATCCTCATTTTTCAAGGATGAAAAGAACATAAACATGTTTGCCATAGCTGTTACTATGTTTGCAGACTTGCCTTATTTTTGTTACTAAGTTACTTCCATAGTGACACTGTTACTATTTGGATTATTGGTCACATATATTTAACAGGTTTATGTTTTCCTTTGTGTCATGTGTATGCTCCTAATCAAATTTGGGACAATTATGAGATTCTGATTCTGAACGTAAATTATAAAACTTGATGTTTTCTTTCTCAACATTTATTAACAAGTTTGAATTCTGCACACACATAGAGCAAAAAAAAAAAAAAGTGGCTGTTTTTACTTTAAAAGGATTATCTTATCTTAAAATAACTCTTTAAATCCTGAAATATTTGAAGATCCAACACCTTCAATCTTCTACATCTGGAATATTTCATGTTGGGTTTTTAAAAAAAAAATTGGCCTTATTTGCAGAGAAATCTACAAAGGATGATAAATGGCACACGTACAATACAGAACAGCATAAAAGGGAATTAAACAGAGCTGTCCGTGACTTGGATCAGGATGCAAATCTCCAGCCTGAACCTGTGTCATCCAGACGCAAGTTTCCGTGAAGTTTTCCTTTTTTCAATCTGGCACAAGTATCAAAATGAAAGGACCAACAAATCGCTTGATGTGAAGATAAAGGAAAGCCATCAGAGAGGCTTTTTCACTCACCGCACGGAAGCTGCTGCAGACTCAGAACAGACGAGAAGCTCTCATCAGCCCTGATATCACCCAGATGAAACAGTGTGTCTCACAGCCACTCAGATTAGAGGACATATGTGATGTGACGTGATGATGATATGTGTGTTAACCAAGCAGCAGCAGCAGCAGCAGCAGCAACATCCTTGTTTTGAAGCACTGAAACTTCACAATTTTCCAGGAAGAAACACATGACTGATGCATGGGGCCCCTTTAAGGGCTGAAAAGTTGGGTGTTATAATCCAGAGCTGTTCAAGAAAGAAATAAAGAATTGAATACTGTTAAACTACATTTTATAGCCCAGGATTTTATTTACTTCACTCTATGGTGGTGTATGAATGGATTAGTGTTGTACCTACTCTATGATGTACGTCGCTTTGGATAAAAGCGTCTGCTAAGTGAATTGTAACATTGTAACATTCCATCTCTGAATTCAGCACAAGCAGCAGCGTGATCCCCGTCACTCCTAATGAGGTTCAAATTTCTTAAAGGTTTTTTTACAGATCATGCTGGAGAATCTGAGAGGCCGTACACATATGAATCTTCAACTGATCTTCAACCTCCTTTCAGAGCAGTTTTTCAGATCAAAACAATGATCTCCTCTGACACACCTCCTACTTCCTTCAGCCCCCCCCTTCCTTGTTCTGTCTTGAAATACGTCCTTGAAATGTATATGTTGAAAGAACACTCTTTTTTGAAATACACAAACACCCGACATCGGTGAGCTATGCCCCCACACTTTGACACAACCAGACGAACTAGTCTGGAGTATGTCTGTCCTTTTTAAACTGATACGTGACGAGGGCCACGCTAACTGACATTTGTGTTTACAGAGACATTTTAATTTTTAACGAGGACCATGTAAATACTGTTTAACCCCAAACGTCTGAAAAGATGTTGTAAGTCTAATTTCATAAAACAATTTACCAAACAACTCGGCCAAAGTAATTCCTTTGGGGTACTCTACTTTAGAGAAAAACTGTGATATTGGTTTATTTGACCTGCTGACCTGAATAGAAGAGGTTACTAAATGTTCTGTGAATGTGGGAATACTTGGTTTGTAAAATCATGGTACCAAAGGAAAGGGTTATAAGACGGCAAGTGTAGCACTGTAAATGTTGAACAAAGCATACACCTGTAGCAATATACTTTTAATACTTTCACTCTTGATAAATACCTCATACAAGCCAGCTTCCAAAAATCAAAACTACCCCTTTAATCTGAAGCTGTTGAATAAGAAACTCCGAAAGAACTTCTGCAAAGTTTTCCATTTATCCCTTCCAACGTTTTTTTTTTAAACTCTTGTGTTGCTGAAAAACCAAATATGTCAAAGTAGGAAAAGGACAAATGAAGAACAACAAAATTGTAAGCTAATGATGAAAAGTTTCCGGACCCCACACTCGATGATGGAGACACCATGCATGCTAGCAAGTGATGTGAACAACAGCAGGATCAGAATACTAGTTAATATAAACGTAAACGAGTGAGTTGTCTCACCTGTCTTTACAGGAGAATACAGAAGATATATCATATTTATTTGATGGTATTTTTTACACCAAAATGTTAGCTGTAAAACCCCCAACAACATGACTCCAGGGGGAGAAATGCAATAAGTCTGCTTCAGACTGACCCCTTTGTGTCGAGTGTGCCCTTTGAAGCAGCAGATCTCTGCTGTATCGCCGAGGCTGCCGCAAAAAAGACGCAGTCATCTCCCTCTCTGAGCCCATTCAAGCCTTTGTCAGCACAGTAATAGAACAAGCTTTTAAATGGGATTGTAAACTGTGCCTTGACCCCCCAAGGGCACTTGAAACTACTTGCCATATCAGGTTTATTAGCTTATTAAATTGTAAAATGATTCTGTGGCTCGGGCCTCATTTCAAATCATGCACAAGGCGAGCCACTGAGCTCACCCACTCAACTTTTAATCTAACAGCTGTACCCCTGCTCGGTCACTCTGCCGCCCTCAAAAACATAATGGAAGCTAACGGCTAATCAAGAGGCCGCTGGAGGAGGAATTAAACGCATGCAGTGCTGCGGTTTTGAATAGGAATCAACAGGAGAAAAGAAAAGCAGGCACTAATTAAAAATACATTAACTGGTTATCATGCGTTGACATATTTAGCTTGATCCTTTTTTTCCTAATCAGCAGTAATGAACCAAGTGTTCTCCATCCACTGGGTATTACATGCTACGTTTCAGTGAGCAGTGAAATTAGCTGAGGGCCCTGAAGCTAAGTCGAACTGATGAAGCTTTGCTAGGTTTGATTACAGTTCTTGTACTGTATTTAATAGAATGCCGTCTCCTAGTTAGATCCTTATTCACATTAGAGATGTGGCCAACCACAAATTAGTCTCTGCTGGAAATGTCCTCTCATATCTATCTAATACAATACATAGAATTACTGTAGTTAAGTGCAATCAAAAGTGTTGTAATCTTATCTTCTGCTAATCATGGATTCTTACATTTAAATCAAACATATTTAAGGCCAAGTGCAATTTGTTGATAGAATTATAACAAATTCACTCAATCATATAAAACAAAATCAACATATTTTACACAGGCTTAAACAGGAAGGCAAATTATACACTTCATGTGGTTAATTTGTATCATTAATCAATCCAGTTTGACAAAGTTAAAATCATCATTGAAGGTGTGTTGTACAAGCCAATTAAAAAATGGCAGATGGAGTCAAAGTATATGCATGAATGAACAATTACTATATTTTCTGAATCAACTCAAAATTGATTATGAAAGTGAATCCATTGTGGTAGCAGTACACCAAAGCATTGCACCTGTTCGCTTATTCTGGAATTAGAAATTGTTAAAATTGTAACAAAGGTACCAGGATCTGTTAAAAATCCCATCCCTGTTGTCAAGTCAGTATAAGACAAACAGAAAGACAGCTTGAAATGACACAAATAGTAAGTGTTGCTTCTGAACCCTGTCTTTCCAAATGTCTGTTAATTATATTAAATCTCACTAACTTATTTGTGGTAACTGTAGAGGATGTTTTTCTTGTGCCATATTTGTTTTTAAAGAATTACAATGGAAATTTTCAGACCAGATTACACAAACAAATTAAACATTTTGCCTCAATGGGAACTGGCATGTTGGTGAGCAAGGGTAGTAAGGGATCATATTTCAAAATGTTTCTTTTTACAAGGTATTCTGATTTTTTCTTCCATGTTTTTTCCCCTCTATTTCCTTGGTCTTGAAAATTGAGTATAACAAAATGACATCATCCATTGGTTGCATAGTTCTTAATCTTTTAATACTAACATTTAGTACATTCTTGCCTATTCATAGATGGTCGAAAGTGTGAAGCCTTACTTGACATCCCATCTCTTGAACAATGTCAGTTATTCGAGCATAAAGCAGACTGAGCTTTTCTACTGTGGTCCTCGTGTAAAAATACACCTACAGGGTAATAGATCTTAATTCTCATTTGAGAGTCCAGCTGTGTCCAGAAGCTGTTTCAGTCGGCACCAATTGTTAATGTATTTTCCAAATAAGATGTTAAGCAAGAGCAGAAATGCAGTGTATAAATATAGCAATCTATTCAATAGTTGTTGAGCTATATCAGTGTAGACCAGAGTAGCTGAACGACTTACTGACAGATTTTATTCAGAATGTTGAAACTGGAACTTAATCTGCAGTGACAGTTCGGATATGCGCTGCACTAGCTGCCCACATTATCAGAACTTCCAGATGGAGGGACCATATGTCCTGAAAAGTGGCAATGTGGAAGGTGCATGTGCTTTTCTTTCTTTTCCTATCATCACTGCTATAATCACTGCACATGCAAAGATGCTGTTTGCATATGAAAAAAAAAACTGTCCTGCCCTTTGCATTTAAGACGCGCTAATGTGTTGCCTGTTTTCTAGCATGTTTACATCAATCATTTAGTCAGATTACTTTTACACTCCTTGTACTGTTGTATATGTTTTAGCCTCATTCAGTTATTAGCAACATTTTATGTTACATCGAGAAGTCAAATTAGATTATGCGTAATGTGATTGTATATCCCTGACTTGTTGGTACACCAAGAAGTGTAGCCTCCTGAACTTCTATGCTGTTTCCACTACGAGGCTTGGTCGAGCGAGACAGAATTGAGAAAGAGAGAGAGAGAGAAAGAGAAGTTTGGACTCACGCTCCTGCTCCTTACATGGACCCAATCCACTCCTATCTAGTACCTGTCACACTCTGGCTGCAAAATGGAATTGACTATTGATTTCCCCCTTACCACAGGTCAGCTGTGCTGGCAGGCGAGAGTGGGTTCACTGAGAGCCTCCATGTGGGACAACAAGAGGAGAGGAGAGAGGAACACGACGAGGAAACACACACACAAACACACCAGCACAGATACACACTCCTTTTAACCACCATTCTCTAGGATTGTGTAAAAGAAGATAGCATAGGTTGCGTGAGAAACGGTGTGCAACATGTGCACACACTCAGGGCCTGGCGGAGCTCTGATAATACTGTGATGGGATTTGTTTGTCGAGGTAGAAAAAAAAGTTTAAAAAGAATATGCAATGTTGTAAAGTATACCAGATTTGCAGGACTAGATTTTGTTGCACTGAAATAAAGCAGTGATTCAAAATTATTTGGGCACACGTGACTCTTGAAAATGAAGCGGTATTCGTTAAAATGACCTTTCATAAAATAAAATTGAGACTGTGGTGAATTTGGCAGTGTTTTACTTTCTTAGAAGGATTCATTTGAATGATTTTCAGTGGCCTGAAAAAGTGCAGTGATTTAAACAAGCAAGCAACAATTAGATAACAAAAATGTAAGAGAAATGAACCAACAGCACAAATATTTTAATTCAATTTATTTCTAGACCCCTAGGAGGGTCGAAACCCCCAGGCGGGAGCCACTAAAATAGAAGACAGCAAACTAAGCAATTTTGTTAATTTTTTATTAAGCCTCTTCTTTGTTGCTTGCGGGGAAGTTTTTTGGGGATGTTTTTTTTAAAGTCATAAAACATAAAGGAGGAGGCTTAACCACACTGTGGGAGCTTAGTTTCCTTTTAACACAGACACTGATATACTTTGACATCAGCAGTGTGTGAAAATTCCTCTTGATATTCGTCAAAGTGTCTTGTATAGATTTTTAAATGACGAAAGCACTTTACTACCTCCTACAACATGCTACAAAGGGTCGCTGTGGGCTTGAACCCAAAGGGACAAGCTGGCAAAGAGCTATTTCGAGGCTCAGGTGGTTATACTTGAAGAAAAAAAATGGTCAACTACAGATTCAGTCGTACATAACAGCCACACCTAAAAGGACAACATTTGTGTTCAGTGCTGACATGTACTTGCTGATAAAACAGACATGTTCTTGCAGGTTGGCAGGTTATAATTCACAAGATATTTATTTTTACAGAGGTGTATATTGGCTAAATCCCAAACTTCACACTCACAGACTTTGAGGCTCATTCCCAGTAAGTGTTTGAGTTCTTAGTGCTTTCCAACCATCAATCATCAAGTGCATGAGGGCTCTGATGAAGACTTCTCAACCGCGGATTACACACTTTCCGTGAGTCATATCTTCGGACTCTCCTGTGAGACAATTTGTAGCATAGTTTATTACCTTGCTGGTGATTTAAAGCACATTTGAAGATGTCGTTTGTGTTTTTTCAGTTACAAAATATTCATGAAGGGCAACAGGTTATGTCATGATAGTGTGTTATATTATGATTTTTGAAAGTAAACAATAAGCAGGTTGGATTTGACCCCAGGCTGCCCGCTTTGAGGATTACAGCATCTATACATGGGGTGCTCGACTAACCACTCGGCAATTGGTGTGCCATATTAATTAAAATGTTTTGTACCATCTCAAGCCCTCAGGGACTCACGCACTCCAGACCTGACACCATTAAAGTCTCTGAGGTTCAGTGCCTATAGGCTTTAGGGTGGGGATTTGGATCGGGCCATTGTGAATTGCTGGTATTATGAAGTAATCTCTCCTGGACGCTTACATGTTTATTTCAAGGAATTTTTACATTTAGAAAAACAATATAGACTTTATTGTGTTGTCCTTAAAAAATGTGAATTATTTAGCTCGTTCTCTACCAAAATTGCCCAGGAATTTTAGTTTTTTCAACATTTAGGTCTTAAGAAGCTACTTTTTCAGGGGCTTTAAAGGTTTCCCAAAGACATTGTTATCAGTGCTATCACCAAGGTCCTGTACCCCAGAGTCCTGTAAAAGTACTACCCACTCTGTGGGGACTTTTAGGGTAAAATAACAACCTCTGGGCTTTTATAGAGATCCTGGTTCTTGCAGTGGTGCCAGGTGTAACCGGTTGTGTTTCTCTGCTGGACTATGGAGGGTGTGTGTCTGTCTCAGATGTTTATGGTGCAGGAAGAACGCCACAACAGCCGGAGCTGCTCTCACTCTGGATCTCTTTCCTTTTTATTTTTATTACCCTTTTATTTAATAAAAAAGCACGCAATCAGCATTGATATGCAAATGCAAGGACTCACATCTTCAGCTCAGGAGAGATTCCTTTTTCTTTTCAAGAGTATTTTTACATAACATCATGAAATCATATCAATTAAATACATTTTTAGCACAAGTGATCGTATAGTGGAATTTTACTTTGTCTTTGAGTACCAAATAAGAGCATTTTCAATTTGTATCTGTATATAAACATACCAAAATCATTTTAACACGTAACCATCAATGAAGTGCATTTTATAGCTTTTCACAATTAACACAAACAACATGAATTTACAGTTCACTTTTTATGTAAAACTAATTCACCATGCCCACCTGGTGTATAATACAAAAGCACACAATCAGCATTGATATGCAACTGCAAGGACTCACATCTGTATAACACAAAAAACACGCACACAAGAGCAAGCAGCTAACTGGTAAGGTAACTAGCTCGGCATGTAAACAAACTGAAACTCGTAAAATTAAATAAACATTTCTACACACAAATGTCCGAAACTCTAACAGTACATTCTAAACGGGTTCATGGACAAAATACATGTTACCTAAAGTTTTTGGAACAGTTTTAAAACAGTAAACAGAGATATGTTGGTCGCAGCACTAAACACACCCACCTTCAGCTCAGGAGAGATTCCCTTGCTGAGGTATGTACGGTGGCCAGCTAGGAGCCCTACAGTTGCGCTATTAGACCACCAGGCGGCAACAAAGTAACATAAATATGACAGACACATTAATTTTGTAGAAATTCAAAAGAGGTTCATTCTAACTCTGTTACACAGGAACCAGGTACATGAGTCCCTAGTCCTTTGTAAGGTTCCTGCTGTGCAAACTCAGGTTTGGTAATCTTTCTTCTCATCATGGCATGATAAAAAGGTACTTTAAATATATACCCAAAAGCACCACTACAACATATATATGTTGACTATATATATATATATATATATATATATATATATATATAAAAAAAACAGTTTAAAATAACTTGTTGTATTTTCCATAAAGAATGTACAATTTGCTCATGGATGAACTTCATAATGTTCATATGGTCCTTTAATAAAGACTGTTGTTTAAGAAAAACAACCAAACAGAAGATGAACTTTGCAGCCCTCAAGCAAACATCATCAATGATAGAAGCTGCACTGACTACCAGGTTGAGAGGAAGGACTTTGTCTGTAGGCTCTATAAACTTTAACTGTGTGTCTGTATGTGGACAGTGATATGATGGACATACATAATTAAATGCTGCTTGGACCTTGTTGAACCCCCCCCTCCCCGAAATGTACAGATTTATGATTGCATGTTGTCCAGTAGTTATATTCTCTGCAGAATAAGTTTCTGTCAGCGGCACATATCTTAATGTCCTCTGTAAGGCTGCTAAAATAGCCAAAGTCGTTCACTATTTCATTTGACTTTTTTTTTTTTGAATGCAGAAAAATGTGCCAACATTCAGGGTTATCTTGAAAGGCATAGATGTTTTCTTACTCTCATACTTCCAAAGCTATGGTTTGCAGGCAGCTACAACAGATCATGGCCTGGAGTACAAGTACATTTATTAAATGAGGCCATAATAAGAAAGTTCACAATACTAAATATGTTAATTGATTCAAAACAGTATTTTAACAACACAAAACCTGTATGTTTTTGTAAATTGTCAAGCTACTGTTGATTTAAGTCTTTGGGCATTCAAAGCTCATTGAAGTAAAACAATTTTATTTTCTTGTCCTACCAGCGGACTCAACAGTTTGTGGTGGTGATTTATAATTAGTAACAGAAAATATAAAAACAAAAACAGCAGCCTTAAAATGACCATGAGGTAAAACTAATGCAGATCAATGTCATCCTTTTAACGTCATAGCAACACTAGAGGTTCAAGTGCATTATATTTTATTGGCATTCATTTCGTTCTGTGAAATCACTTCAGATTGCTGCCTCTACGTTTTTTTTCTTCATCCGAATATAATACTAACATGTTCGAGCTGTCAATCGATTCACTCCTGTCTTGGCTTGACAGATAATCCTTGTTCCATAAAGGTAGCTACAGCCCACATGTTGTTGATTCTGTGACCTGTACTGACTTTTGCCCTCCGTCTTCCAACTGTACATGGGGTCATTAAGTTATTGATTGAGGGTAAGGAGGCAAAAACAACTGTGGGGTGTTGCAGCAGAATCACATCTCACATGCCAAGTACCAAGACCGCACAAGGAATGTAACTTTTTTTAATGAATGACGGTACTGAAGATGCAATAAATTTCAGCAGGCCAATCATTCCTTTACTTGTAAATGTAAATGGCGGGATGTAACATGGCACATTTTGTGGAGCTTCTTTATTACTGTTTTTTTTTTTCGACCAATCAATGGACTGCAGTGTGTCTAGCTCCACCCTTTAGGGTCTGGTTGGTATGCTTGGCACCCAAACAGAAGGGCAGCCAGAAAGTAGGACATTGCAGTTATTTTTGACAGTGAAAATGCCAGTAAATGCGTGCTGTACCAAACCAAACTTAACAGGGCCGCTTGGTGGAAACAGAGCTTTAGATTTTATGAATATAGCAATATTGGATGGAAAGGGATTTGTGACACATGCACATTTAATTTTTTTTTTTTCTGGACACAAAGACCGTTTAAAGCAAAAGTAACCGTAACAACTGGCTGAACATGCGTGTGCTAAAAGGGTTAACATTTTTCCTGTTGTCTTTTTCATGTGATACTCTCGGATCAAGATAATTAAACTTCTAGGTTTTAAATTAAGCCTATAACATGACCAAGTATGTGGGCTCCCAATTGGCTCCTGCTGATATACAACGTCCTTTTTTGACCCAACCTGATTTCCAGTATGATGTACTGCCGCTCTTCACTGCTTCCCCTCCCTCCCCTCCCGCTGCCCATAAACAGTTGATTGCTTCACTTTGTTCTGTTGGTCATTTCCTTATTCGTATTCTGGACAAACGCTCATAACTGGCTCCTTATTGATTGATTTATGGGTCAATCACAGGACCACCTTACACACCTACCATTACACTGACTTAAATGTCTCAGTGAACAATCAAAGTAAGGGAATCATTTTCTTTTAATTGAGCTCGTCGACAAAAAACCCTGTGCTTGAAGTTTCTGCTCTTACAAAAAAATGTGGGTGTCAATATTGAATATTTGCAAACGATAGCCCAAATTTCTTTTCATAGGCTGCATTTTAACACCTCATTTTCTCTTTCAGAAATGCCAGACCACCAGTGAAACATGCCATTACTAAAAGACCAAGGTTATGTGCAGAAATTAGCATATCTACTGGTACTACTCGCACACGGCAGATTGTTAACAGATTATAGGATTTGTTAAAAGGCTGACCTTCCGTTAAGCAGCACCTGTGTACAACAATGTGAGCCAAAAGAGATATACCCACAAGTACCAACAGATGGCACTCTGGTAACATCCAGACCTCAGAGAGACACTCTGATAAGAGGGGAGTAAAGAAGGAGAGGCACTGAGAGTTAGAAGGAATTTAGTTTTATGTTTATTGTATAATATAACTTTGTTGAGACATCCAGGAGCTCGTACACGGATCAGTTGGACAATTCTTCTTTTGGTAAAGGTAAAAGAAAGACAGACAAATAGATGATGAACACTGTGCACAAACTGGTTGCCCGTTAACTAAAAGAACCCCTCAAATAGACCATATCTGACAAGGCAGCCTTGCTCTGTGTCAGACCCTTTAACTCAATTACTTTTTATTGAATAACTTGATTTCGGTTTTAATGAGCGTCTAAGAATTGGTATACCTTGATTTAACATTTTGAAATTAATGCTTCTGTGCAGAGGTTGAACAAAACGGACAGGAAACCTCTTCCCCTTCTGTTTACCCACAGCAGGACTTTGGATAGTTTTCACTCTGACAGGCTTTTTGTTGGGAAATCCGGCTGACCCAAGGACAGGGAGTTCTCCTCCAGGGCCATCACCCCTCTGGTAAGTGGCACGACCCTTGCTTCGAGGCAGGGGTGGCCCACTCAGATACATGCCACGTCTATTTGGGACGGACTCATCAACAACAAGGTCATACCCATTGTTGACAAATGAGGGTGGCTCGCTGCGACCTTGAGAATTCAAATTTAAAAGGTCAGGCCGGCTTGGGGCTTCAGGGGCAACATGCTTGACCTGCTCAAAATTGGGCCTGTGGTTAATAGCTGACCGTCCTCTGGGGAAGGTAAGCCCTTGGAGTTTGGGGTATTCTGGATCATAAATGCCATGGCTCAGTAGAAATGTAGATTCAAGACTCCTGGGGGGAGCTTTTTTCTGTAAACTGTCATCGAGGGATCTCACTCCTGGTTGATATTGTACAAAGGAGGCCATGTTAGGCCCAGTTTCAGCCACTTCATGTCCATTATTTTTGGAAGTTTGAGTCATTGTGCGAGGCTGCATCTCTTCGTAAGCTGGTGCATAGAGACCAGGGGCCCCATGGACTCCAGGATAATCCAATCCCAAGGCGGCTGCACGGGCTACAGCATACACAAAAGCAGAAGTAATGAAAATAAAAGCTGTATTTATTCTCGGTGTGCCATTTCATTAGTGTAAAATAATCCAGTGATTGGTAGTCAAAACAAAGTACTGACATAAATCAAAGTGCACCACATACCTCTCGCTGTTTTAGCACAATACACACCTCCAGCTGACACACACTGAAGCACGACAGCGCTGCAAAAGACAGCAAACACTGTAAGCCAAACAGCACTGCACTGAGCAGCCATGATTGTGTTTTTTTAACCCCAGGAAACAGATTTACAATACCTAAGACAAACCAGCAGAGGTACACTCATCCCTGCAGCTATATCAGCACAAATGGCAATACTATTACAGAAAGCACTCGCCTCTCTTGACTTCCTTTGCAGCCATTCTGACTGCCCCAAACCTCACCCTATAGCTGGCTCTGATTTACTAATTACAGACAGCTGGCTGTCATAGAGACCAAAACTCAACCACTGTATCCAGTCAGCCACTGGCAAATTAGTTCATTACAGGCAATTAGTTAAACTGCTTGCTATAGCAGCAGAGAATTACCCCAAAAAATGTATTTTTGTTATCATTTTTAATTCCAGTTAAATGAAGCGTATTTAAAGCTGGGGGTGCGGGCAGCAGGGGTGAAAACTGTGTTATTCATTTATGTTTTGGAAAAGAATGGTTTATGCAGCCAGTGGAAAAAAATACATGTGTAAGCAGAATCGTTTCACATTTCCTAACCTAAAAATCATTTCTTTACTTTTTAGATATAATTCAAAGAACACAAGAAAATTGTAGATGCCTACGTATGGTAGGTAATTTGTCTTTGATCACAAACATGTTCAGTTCCAGACTACCTGGAGAAGAGACAATGATTCACTTGCAAGGCAAAAGCAGCAGAGCTTGGTTTCTGGGTATGCTGCTGGGTCTGTCTGAGCCAACAATGTAGCAGCTGAGAGCATGGGAAGCATTTAATAATTCACTCAAATTATTTCTGTCAGGACTGACGCGCTAAAACGAGGGCTTGATTTAATTCTGTAATTGCACGTTCACCTTTTACCCTGAACCCACACTTTCGTAATTAATAGGCCCCAGCTTTATTTGAAGTGTGGCACGGCAAGTAATGGAATTTAAATTGCAGGTGATGTGCGACCAAAGATGTGAATGTCTGCTCGGCCGAGGAACTCGTGTTATTTTCCTGCCACGGTGTCGCCCCAAGGGAGAGTGGAGCCAAAAAGTGGCACCAACCTACAGACCTTATCCTCTGCTCCCAACACAATCTGTCTGTTATTACGGATAGTCTGGATCATAGGCTCTCTCTGAAATCACACACTACTTACTATAGTGCACTTTAAAGGGAATACAGCATTTTGTAGTGCTGTCCATATTCTGAGCAATTGTGAAAAGTAGACTTCAACCAATGGTCACAAACACAGCAATCTACTATCATGCATTACGGAGCTAAGCTGTAAACGAGCAGACATGGACATTTGACTGCTCTCATATGACAGATGGACGAGAGGAGTGTGAACAGCGTGAATAAAGTGTAAAGATTCTAAGAGAGAATAATGTTGGTTTTTCCTAACGATGATGACTGACAGATAAATCAACTGACAGTTGTGGTGTGAAGTTCCCTTATTTTCTTAAAAAAAAACACAGAACTACACATTTATTCATTGCATTTAATTGTTTTTAATACGCTCAGTGTAATATTAGCTGTCATTTTAATTCCGCCGTTATTTATCACTGAGCTCTGGCTGGCTTTGCTGCGCGTTTTAGTTGTGCGACAACAGTGACGTCATTATCACTGGTGGGCAAGACATCAAGCTGTGTCCAAAACTGTTATTTAATTTAGCCATTGAGTGCACTACATAGTCCAATACAGAGAGGTCCTAATGTAGGGAGTAGGGAATGAGTGTGATGATGGAGTACATGAAAGCGACCCAAAAATCATGGCCTCAATGACTTGATTGCCCCCTGGTGACTGTGGATAGTTTTACACCTGCCTTCTCTATGTAAACAGATGGGACTTAGGTCACACTATTAAATCAAAGTAGTAATTAGTCATTATTTTTAGTTCTTATCATGCTTAATTATTTCCAGCTGTTGATTTTCCTTAAAGTTTAGTTTTAAATAGTCAGTATTATTTAGTCAATGGACTAGGGAAGTGATTCCAGAAAGAGGCCCTCCTGTGGACCGATAAGGTACTGCATGTGGTCTACAAGAGGTTATTAACAATAAATGAATTGAAAGTTATAATTTTAGATTATACAACTATGTGGATGGATTATCTTTGATTTTTTCTGTTAATGAAATAGAAAAATAGATAACACTTTATCTTATTCTCAAATAATTGTAGCATTCTTTGGGAATGCAGGATCAAAATGTCTTGATCCTTGCTATTTAACTTGTTGGTTTCTATACACTGCACATTCCTTATAAACACACAAGTTGAGACATTCAAACTGTTCAATACCCACCACTGGTGGCGGTGGCATGTCTGTCAGCAAAGTGACTGTACTCTGCTTTGTGCTGGCTGACATTTCCAGGGACTCCAAAGCAGACCTGCATCCCATGTGGACGAGGTTGAATCGTTTGACACACACACACACACACACACACACACACACACACACCTCTGGAGGCAGGTTAAGGTATACGAGGTCAGCTACAGAGGATCAGCGCTCCACCTCTCAACCTCAGTGTGACGACGAGCCCACTCGCTCAGCTCCCATCAGCCCCTCTGGGCCTCATTTGTGTTGAGCGGGAGGGGGAGGGGTCTACTGTGTCATTTCCACAAGATGTTGACACAGACGGAGCGGTCTCACCGGGCTGCCAAATGACCAGTGAACTCTGACACAGCAATGACCCAATGTTCCAGTAATGGCTGCTGCAACCAAAAAAAAGGTGGCTTGTAATGCAACGCTATTAGATCCACGATGAAACCACTCTCATTTGCTTTGGACTAATTTTCCCTGCTCGTGTAAATATGTATCAGAATCAATTAGGCCTAATAATATACAGTCCTTAGAGGATTCACATCAAAGCACATAAGCACACAATCCAATTAAGAGTGTTTACTGTTTAGATTGAAATGCTCAGCGTTCCGGTCTTAAACCCAATCCGCATATCAGTAAACAATATTTGCCGGAGTGTCTTTTCCAGTGGTTGTGTGTGGGCGTGTGTGTGTGTGTGTGTGTGTGTGTGTGTGTGTGTGTGTGCGTGCGTGTGTGTGTGTAAGTGTGATTATTTATGTGAGTCTATTTATGTGTGAGAAAAAGAGTGAGCAAACATGCTTTGCAATCTTTAATATGTTTTGTTGCATTTGTTTTTTAATAGAACTTTATCTCCAGGACTCCTTGTTGCAGATGTGAAGAGAATTACAATGACAGACATTTGATTTTCCTATTCGAAACCTCAGAATATTTGTTTTTTGTTGAGGAAAAACGCCAAAGGCAAAGTGCATACACTAAATAGTTTATGTCATGTCTAATTACAAGAAGTGAAAGAACCAGGATAATTAAAGTCTCTAAAAAGTAATATTTACAAAAATGTCTGAATTCAGGTTTTTTGCTAAGATGTACATTTGTAGATGTACATCTGATAAAGAGACGAAGCACATGATTTAAGGTGACATGAGTGACAGATTCAGTTATGTATATCTTATGAGAAAAATCCTATGGTTGGTTTGCACATTATTAAGAGATTTGCATGGACAATGGCATATTCAAAAAAAGCGTTGTCTTTGTATTTCTTCCCTCCTGTTTCCTCCATCAGCCTCATCTTTCAGGCAGAAAAGGGCACAGCATCCTGTCAACCTTTCCCCCCTCCCCGTTGAAATGATGGATAATTAGATGAATACACTGGCATTTAGTAGCGACTGTAGTGAATTTCAGGCTTCTCTTCCTTCACATTTTTTTTTTTTTTTTTTTACTGTTGCTTCTGCTGCTTCCTCACTCGTCCCTCTCACCACCGTAGACAACAGATACTGAACTCTTTGAGCTCTAGGGCTCAGGCTGCTTCCAAAGCTAGAATAGCAATCAGCAGAGGGAGCGAGGGAGAGGAGAGGAGGAACAGAGACACATACACATATACACGTATGCATACAAAGTGCAACCGTTTCTGAGAGAAACAAATGGTCAAAAACACATATTGAGTGAGAGCCCTGTAAAATATGACAGAGAATTAGTTTTGCGCAAGAGGTAGCAAACCACTTGTTTCTATGGTTTCAAATTCCAAAGCCCTCCAGTTCATCTCATCATAACACCACACGTTTATTATAGAGTCTTGTCTTCACCAGGCGTGCTGAGTCTGCGATTTGAGACGATTAATTTAGGCACTTTCAGAGCCCACCTTCACATATCTTAACTAACTGTAGCTCCAGATCTGGCCTTCTCTGCAGGCTTCTTATAACAAGAGAAAAAAGCGACAACAAGCTGCTGTAAGGTGTGAAGTATAATTAGCAACGACACCACCGGGATGGTTCCTTTAAATTCAACTCCAATTAGGAAAAGTAGCCGTCAGCAAATACTGCTTTTGTGATACCCCCAACAAATACCCCGTGTGGATGGTTGCAGCATGCATGTAGAAGCTTGCATATAGGGGACACATTCACCTGTCAGGCCTCATTTGGATGGGGCTGCGTTCCATTTTTTTCTGCATGGTGATGCCCCGGCCCCCGATCCATCTCCCTGTGCTTGACTCAGTGTTGGAGATTAATTAGCGATGTCTGAATCTACAGAGGTCGAGAAACCCAAGCAAGCCACTCAGGTTAAAAGAAATAATTAATAAAAAAAACTGTCATCATGGTGTTTTTGCTATCCAAGCAAAAATCACCTCCTTATAAGTCCCATGATGCTCAGCAGCAGAATCTTACCAGCTGATATGAAGAGATAATGAATGCACGTCAAATCTACCATGCAAATCTACGGTATTGTTTAAGTACATTCTGCAAGTTGATTACTTTTTACAAAGTCTTCTCTGTGTACTTTCTTCAGTTTAAATCATTAGTTTTGTTTCCCATGCCTTATTACCTGTACAAACTGCTTGTTTTTCCGTTTCCTCGTTCGCTACCACACATTCTGTGTACGGTTTTCATCAGGAGGCTCTAATTGCTTTTCCTTGAAGGCAGAATTCAACTAAGCCAGCTGCTGTCTGAGCCGGGTGTTGTTTCATAAATATATAACAGCTCCCTCATTATTTTCACAACAATATTAATGATGATAAGAACAATTATAACAAATAAGGCAGCAGAAGTAGCAGCAGCAAGGTCTTTTCATTACTCCTTTCTCTTATTTGTTTGACTTTTAATACCATTTCACATTTCTGTTTTCATTTTAACTACTTATCTTCATGAGCTACTGTATTTTCCATTATCCAGTTAATTATTTATATATTTCTGCATGAATCTTTA